GCCTCCGAAAATTCGTCATTTTCCCAGATCTCGGTATTATTGATGCTATGAGTCGCTACGTTGCTGGAGGTGCGCGGCGATCTGTTTCTCTATTCCCCATCTTGTTTGTTTCTCTCGATCTATTGAGTGTGGTGTTGATGGTTGAGGTGAAGATGGTGGATTTGTGATGACGATGTTGTTGGTAGCACGCGATGGTGGAGGTTGCGGGTATGGTGATTTTTTGGTGGGTGTATGGTTTGTAGTGAGATGGTTAAGTGTGGTGATGGTGAGGTGGTGCTACCGATGGCAACGAAGGCAGACAGCTAGAGAGAAGATGGAAGGTGGATGGAGAGAGAAGAGAGAGAATGGAGATGATGAAATTAATTAGTGTTCGTGTGTGTGGTTGGGTAGGATGAATATGTATATTTAATTTTGTAATATAATTATTAATATTTAAAATTTTAATTATTATCTAATTTTTGAAACAAAAACTTGTAAATTCTAATTTTGAAATGAGAATTTTAAAATTTTGGTGGATTGTAATTTCCACTTATAAAATTTTCAACTTTTAGGCTAATAAATTGTAAGGGCAAAAAAATTGCTTGCAGACTTATTGATCCACTAGTTATTGAGGGCATTTTTAAGGATTTTGTTGTAAACTTTTGATAACGAATAAAGAACCCATTTGGTTTGTCTGTAGTGCATTGTACATTTGATTTGACAATAATGTATTGTACCATTGGTTTTACCGTAGTGTATTGTACCTTTAATTTGATTGTAATATATTATACTATTGTATAAATTGTTTTTTATTTTATTTTATTAAATTAATTAATCATTTTCCTATCTCTTACTAATTAATAAAAATTAAAAACCCTACAAATATTTCAATTGGCACTATTATAATATATCTTGTTTATTGTTCGAAAATATATTTATTTTGTTAAGCTTTTAAAACTGCATTTGGTACTATAATTTATATGTATTATTAAATGATTTTTAAATTGATTAAAAATTTAAAATAATATTAAAATAAGAAAAGGTTTTTACGCTTTTTTACACTAAAGCCTTGCCTAGGCGCACATCGACCGAAGATTGGCCTCCATGCTTACGTTTTTCAAAACATTGGTATGAAGTGTGAATATCATGCCAACAAACAAGCAAGGACGATTGGAATTTATTTTAAGAATATGTTCCATAACTTGATAGAAAAATAGAAGGTAAAAAGGTTATCTTGAATCCTTGATTGTTGATGGTTGCCCCACTCATCCAAAAACATTTGAAGGTTTGAAAAATATTGAAGTTTTTTCTTTCCACCCAACAAAACATTAAAGATTCAGCCTAGGATGTAGGGATTATACGAGCTTTCAAGATGTATTATCATCATTTTATCAAAATCTTTTGGAGAGTATGCAATTAGGATCCTAAATCCAGAGGATAAATGTTTAGATGCAATGAATTCTTGTAATCTTTACTTGAACAACGTACGTTCAAGCGAGTACAATGTAAATTATTTTTGATATTGTAAAATTAGGTCTATGTATAACGCGGTTTAAGAGAATTTGAATCCTCGCTCACATGATGGAGGTGTTGAACAACGTGTTATAATCAAAGAGTCGAAATATCAAGATACAATGAGTGTTGAGTACCTTTCTTGGACTCTCATAAAGGAATTAATCTACTTGTACAATTGTTATTGATAGTAATGGGTGACAACATGATGTTGTCAAAATCTGATCCATTAATTTTAAAAATAATTTTTGAAATGGATGAATGTGATGTTGACAAGTATGATTATCAACCAATATTGTAAAAAATGAGTGTACAAATAGCATGAATCATCATGGAGAAAATGGGACAATTTCGAGTTGTTGAGTAAGAGCAAATTATTGAGTGTCATGGAAAATGACAAAACAGATGAAGTTGAAAACGAGAATTCTGGAATTTGTCTTAAGCTAGGATGCAATCCAAGCAATAATCACATTGCATAATTTTCTCTTTCAATATGAGAGCACTACACTATGCTTCTGAATGAATTGAGAAAAGTTAGAGAGAGATCCAAAAATATATCAATATTAGGAGGAAATTGGAGTCACATGATATAAATGCCACCTAATCGAGTCCTATAATTAATGCTTTCTTTTGGGCTACATTATTTCAAAAATACATTTTCTCTCTTTTATTTTCAAATATTCATTCTTCTATAAAATAATATTACACGTAAATTCAAATTTTTTCTTATTTTTTAATTACATTCTTAAAAAAAATCACTACTTTAAAATACATTTTCTCCAAAAATTGTTTTTAATGTAATGAACCTTACCACATGTAAATCATACTTTACATAATTGATATTATATAATGCCACATATTATTTTATCATTTACCAATTTAGAACACAATCAACTTTTAACATATTGGTCGCAAGTTAGGTATCACTCAAAATTATCATTAAATCAGTTTATTAATTTATTTAGATTATATTGAAATTATAGGGTAAAATGATAACTTTGCATTATTGAATGATCATGATAAAATAAAATCAAATGTTGTAACATAATGATACTAAATACAAAATTGGGTGGGCATAGTTGAATCTATCCATAAACGATATCGTATAAGTTCCACCCACATATATTTACACAGAGAGAACGAGAAAGAGCGATGGCACGTAGGGAGAGACAAAGGATGTCGTCTGGGAGTTGTAGTGGTTTTCACGTGCTACCAGAGGGATGTATAGCCAACACGCTGTCGTTGACGAGCCCGAAGGATGCCTGCCGACTGTCATCTGTAGCCTCCATGTTCCGTTCAGCGGCTGAATCCGATGCGGTTTGGGAGCGGTTTTTGCCGTCTGATTATCGTAATATTATATACCGCTCAATTGACGGTGCTGATTCGCTTCTATCTGAATTTCGCTCCAAGAAAGAGCTCTATTTCCACCTCTGTCATGTCCCTCTCCTCATCGACGGTGGCACCAAGGTAATATAAATTTAATATAAATTTCAATCAATTTTAGTGATTCTTTATTCTATAACTGGAATTAATGGCATCTGGATTTTTTTTTAAAAAATAACTGGACGTTTGTTCGATTTTCATTTATTTTATGCAAATTAAGAATCTTTACAAATATGGATTAATTGTTGAGAAGAGTAACTGTGCTTAGTGTTTACTTTTATCATGAAGCTTTACAAATATGGATTAATTGTTGAGAA